TTGCCAAGTTTGGAAACCTCTGGCTTGTATGATTGTGCTTGTCGCTGCCATGGAAGAGTAGGGGGTTTCTGGGATTTTTATATTGTTGATTTTTAATGCTGTCTGCCACTTGGAGATACCATGGGTGAGTAGGACGATCATGTAAATCTATTTAATAAATAATAAATAAATAAATTGGGCCCGTACTTTCCTTGATGCCTTTTGGTATAGTCTACCTAATGATTTAACTACCAAACTGGCCATATCACCAAGGCAGTTTTTTTCAAGTAGGGGAACAGATCCTTGGTACAACTGGAATATCTACAACATGCTCTCAAAATCCCCACAGAATCCAGTGGCTGATCAAGTGATCCCTACTTTATTGAATCTAGGCTGTACATCTGGGAGGGGTGTTATCAATCCATGTTGTCCCGAAGAAGCTCCTGGACTTGGCAGAAAGGTATTGGATTACTCATGATGTTTACATGGGAACCAAGAAAGCTAAATCATGGCCGAAAAAAGGATTGATTCAACGTCAAGTGCAAAAGCTCTGGCCCATACATGAAGGTTCATTTAAGGTGGTTTATTGGTAAAAACCTGTGCACAAGAATCTTCTTAACTAATGTTCAGCACCTAGTTAGAGTTAAATTAAGATCAACGGCACTTAAAAGGGTTGGACTTAGTTCACTTGGGTGCGTGAAGGGAGGTTCAGCCAATCCCATTGTACACATGAACTCTGACAATAAAGGTAATAATAATATTTGTGGCCATGTAAGGATTATAGGCTGATCTCCATTTTCGTTCTACTCCCAGGTTCTGCCACTCCTACGCTCAACTGGCCTTCACAAAGTTCTTTCATCCATCCATCCCATCCATTTATCATCATCCATCCATCCATCTACCTCTTCACCCACCCACCCATCTAACCATCCTTTGTGGGGTTTCTAATGGATTAATCTAAGCAGTTTGCACAGTAATAACAAAACACTTTGCAAGTTATAAAAATCAGTGCCATAAATCATTAAACTATCAATCAGCTGTACATTCATAAAACAACAGTCAACAGTGCCTTAAGCACCCGAAGGATCTGTAGAGAATAAAGAAGATGACCTTGACAGGCCAAATCTGACACCCCCACAGCTTATATCTGAAACAAGAAAATATGTGTAAGACACTTTCCTAATTTGCATAGGTATAAGAAGGGGAAGAGGCATGGCACAATGAAACTTGTAAGATTCTGCTATACATATCTCTTGGGATATATCAAATTAGGTTAGAAGGTTATAACTTTACTCTGGCAAGATCCTGTCCATTAAGTGTAAGCAAATAAAGAATTGGACTCAGTTGGAACTCACTGTATGGCCTCTGGTCTCAAACCTGACAACAACCTTCATGTAAAACATTCACCCTTTGTAGCAAATATTGTACTATATTGATTTTATACCAATGCTCTATTGCTATAGGAACTCAGCATGGAAAATTTAAGATGTCACCCTTCCTTTGAGATAACAATGGTGCTTATTACTTACTGGTATCATATTTCATATTTGTCTTTGGTGCTTGGTGTAGACTAGTGTTTCCCAACTTTCAAATATTGGGAACTTCAACTCCCAGAATTCTCAGCAATGGTCTTTTTGGCTGGGGAATTCTGGGTACCGAAAGCCACAAATCAGGCAATTGAGAAAACTGACCTGGAACCAAAATGGATTGTGTTGTTTACATGATTACGGGCAGAAGAATGAGGATGTGACTTTTAAGCACAGCAATCATATTTTGTGTTCTCAAATGTTACCAAATAGAAACTACATTGCAACATGTATACAGGTAGATCTTGACTTATGACCATAATTGAGCCCCAAATTTCTGTTGCTAAGTGAGACAGTTGTTAAGCCAGCTTTGCCATTTTGCAATTTTTCTTGCCATGTTTGCTAAGCGAATCTGCTTGCAAGAAAGTCATAAAAGGGGATCACATGACCCCGGCAGACTGCAACGGTCATAAATAAGAGCCAGTTGCCAAGCCTCCAAATTTTGTTCACTTGATCATGGGGATGCTGCAATGGTCGTAAGTGAGGAAAATGGTCAGAAGTCACTTTGTGCAACTTAAAACGGTCACTAAACAAATGGTTGTATGTGGAGGGCTACCTGTATTCTGTTCAAAACAGAGAAAATGCTCTTAAACCACTTCACAGATGGAAAGTATATTTAGACCAATGGACAAATCTCAAAATTTTGAAGATGTGTCTAAACCACACCTAGAATAATACTGCATCCAGTTTTGGTCACCACACTATAAAAAAGATGTTGAGACTCTGGAAAGAGTGCAGAGAAGAGCAACCAGGATGATTAGGGGACTGGAGGCTAAAACTTATGAAAAATGGTTGCAGGAACTGGGCATGGCTAGTCTAGTGAAGAGAAGGACCAGGGGAAACGTAATAGCAGTGTTTCAGTATTTGAGGGGTGCCACAGAGAGGAAAGGGTCAAGCTATTCTCCAAGGCACTCGAAGGCCAGACAAGGAACAATGGATGGAAACTGACCAAGGAGAGATTCAACCTGGAAATAAGGATACATTTTCTGACAGTGACAGCAATTAACCAATGGAACTGCTTGCCTTCAGAGGTTGTGGGAGCTTCATCATTGGAAGCTTTCAAGAAGAGACTGGATTGCCATCTGTCAGAAACGGTGTAGAGTTTCCTCCTTGGACTATATGACCCACAAGGTCCCTTCCAACTCTGTTAATCTAAAAAGGTCTCTCCCAACATGGCTGCCTTGATAGATGTTAACCTTCACAAAAATCTTCTGATCAGAAGACAATTTTTCTTAAATTCTTCTCTGCTGTGCCTTCTACAATGGGCTCTTCACCATCCCATTTTTTTTCCTGAGTAGATCAGTACTTCCAAGCAAAGTTGAGACTATCCACTATTTTTTACTTTTTGAAAAAGTTTCTTTGATCTCTATGGGCAAAGGGACACCCTGGGAAATTAAGATGATGCTAAATTGCACCTTTCTTTTGCAACGAACTAATTTCACCTTCACCAGCTTCCCCTGAGATCCTGGTGTCTAATTGGTATTATCAAGCCAATTATGGAACTCACACTCATATTTGGGGGCCTGGCTGGAGCCTAGAAGTTAAATCTCAAGTCGGCAAAGTTACTTTGGAGTTACAACAACACCCCAGTGTATTCGCTTTGGTGGCTCCTTGATGTCTGTTCAGTTAATAATATGCTTCTGTAAAGAAACAGATTCTAGTAAACTCTCTAGGGCTTCAAGATCTCTAAAGTTTATCCAACTTCAAGCAAAAGAAAGTAAAGTGTTTTTCCACTTACTTTTACAGAGAGGCAGGCCACACTTGCCATTTGTATAGACCTTTCTAACTGGTGATATTCAAAGTTTGCTCCCATTCTTCTCTCCCCGTTGAAAAGAAGGAAAAAAATAGCTCTGGTATTTTTATATCCTAATTGGGCCTTTGCAAACAGATAGCAGCTTGCTCTATTTATTTATTTTTTAAAGACAAAATAATAAGCACACAAACCCAGAACCACATTGTGGGAAACAAATCCATTCAGGGTTAATTCTATTAAGCCATCCGGATTCTACTTGAAGCAAGATGGGTGGCAAGCAATTTTAATAATAAATAAATAAAATCATGGGGGTAGTTTGAGGGCAAAATTACTCTTTGCCAACTTGGGTTTATTTTATTTTTTTAAAGCTACTACAGCAAACAATAACTTCTTTCCAGAATTTTTTTATTCAGGAATGAAGACTTTAGAAAAATAATTGTTTGGCAATTGTGGAAAAGTACTAGAAGCACCTTTTCTCCTTGCCTCCCATTTGTCCTTCTCTACAGGAAGATATTGTTCTCCAGGCCAAACCATGTTAGTACCTGCTTCAAATCTATGATTGTCGTATTTACCTATTTTGGCTCACTGCAATCACAAAGGCAAAGAACTAGAATTAAACAGTGATGGGTTTTTTTTTTTGTTTTTTTTTTTGGAAATTTACATTTTCTAATGGCTTTTAAATTTTTAGAGTTACTTTCTTGATAATAGCAATGGCAATGGTACAGAGTTATATACCACTTCATAGTGCTTTACAGCCTTCTCTAAGCAGTTTATACAGTCAACATATTGCCCCCAACAATCTGGATCATCATTTTACTGACCTCAGAAAGATGGAAGGCTGGGTCAACCTTGAACCAGTCAGAATCAAACTCCTGGCTGAGGGCAGAGTTAGCCTGCAAAACAGCATTATAACCACTGTGCCACATGCCTCTGATCATATGTACTGAGCTGTAAAGTGAAGTTTATCAAACTTGGCAACTTTTAAGGTGTGCAGGCTTCAACTCCCCGCATGCTGGCTGGGAAATTCTGAGAGTTCAAGTCCATACATCTTACAGTTACGAAGGTTGAGAAATACTCAGTGGGAAATCAAGAACAATTCCAAATCAGTGCTTAAAGAAATCAGAAAGCTAAAATACTGGACCATCTGGTCACTTTTTTCTATATTGTTCTCCCACCTGTCCCTCCCCATGTGTGAATTTAAATTCTCAGTTACCTTTAAGTCCACATGTCTTAAAGATGCCAAGGTTGAGAAACTCTAGAAGCATTTGGTCTGCAGTTAGTTTTAAGTATTCACAGAGGCAACTTTGGGCAGGTGTCATTTGTGATGTGTGAGCTTATTTTGTTTTGTTGAGAGCTGACTTGGAAGGCGGAGAGTAGATGGGGGGCAGGCCAGTCAAAGGTATTTGCTGCTTCTCCAAACTACTCAAAATTTCTGCTACCGGTTCTCCAGAACTGGTCAGAACCTGCTGAATACCACCTCTGCTTCCCAGCCAACTTTATACAAATAAAGTCAATGATTCGCTTAACAACTGCAACGATTCACTTAACAACTGTGGCAAGAAGGGCCATAAAATGGAATGAAACCCACTTAACAACTATCTTGCTTACCATTGGACAATTGCGGTTGTAAGTCGAGGACAACCTGTATAGGAACTGACTGGAACGGCATTTTTGCAAATTAGACTGAAAATGATCTCACAAGCAGAATTAAGTGAAGACATTTCCCTGTATTTTGTCTATCTCCTTACCTCTTTTTAAGATTGGCTGGAGTGACGGTTGCTAGATTATTACATTGCTAAGTGTAGTAATCCAAATTAAAATATATCTGAAAGGTGGCGGTCTACCCAATTTCTGTTGGACCCCAAAGAATGAAGTGTAAATTACAATTTTTTATTTATTTATATTAATTTGATTTGTCAATCGCTTACAAGATAATAGGTATAAGAATAAACATAGTTATGAATGTATGAAAAGGATACATATAAGAAAAATAAAAGAAACAATAGGACAGGGGTGGTAGGCACGTTGGTGCGCTTATGCATGCCCCCTACAGACCTCTTAGGAAAGGGGTGAGGTCACTAGTAGACAGTCTGTTAAAGTTTTTGGGGTGGTGGGAAAGAAACCACAGAGTCAGGTAGAGTATTCCAAACATTGACCACTCTGTTGCTGAAGTCGTATTTCCTGCAATCAAGTTTGGTGCGATTCACCTTGAGTTTGTATCTATTGTTTGCTCTTGTATTGTTATGGTTGAAGCTGAAGTATTCACTGACAGGTAGGACATTGCAATGTATTATTTTATATACTATACTTAATCGGACTGAAGATGGCGTAGTTCTAGGTTTTCTAGGTGTAGAATTTCAAGTCTGGTGGCATAAGTTCTGCAACGAGTAGAGGAGTGTAGAACTCTTCTTATGAAATATTTCTGGACTTTCTCAACTGTGTTCATATCAGATACATAATGTGGGTTCCAGACTGATGAGCTGTATTCGAGTATTATTCCCTGGATAATTGTTTATAATTGGTTCCACCACCAAATTTCTTATTGTTAGGACATTTTTCATGATGTTCATCTAGAATGCTTCCTGAAATTTAAGATGATGCTTCTGTTGTCAGCAGAAAGCAAATTTAATCTTTATGATATCTTCTCAGATAACTCTAAAAAATGCAGCCATCTCTATCCTTCTCAGTCATCCTTTTTTGATGCTAATTATTTTCCTGATTTTTTTCCTCATTCTTTTTGGCTTTCTCTGAAATTGTTCCAGTTAGGTTGTTTTTTTTTAAATAAGATGCCAAGAAAACACTACTCCAAAAGGAAAGGAGTCAGACCAAGGTAAAAATGTAGCAGAATTATTTTTTCCTGAGGTTTGGAAACCAAATTCCAAATTTTTAGAAGCCAAGGCTTATGGTTGACTTATATTCAACTTGTGATCTATAACAAAACCAAAATCCCTTCAGCTTGGAATTTAACCAGATGGATATTTCTTCCAACACCAAGTTCACAGATTGAACTATTGTTTTGTTTCACTGTGATTTATTGACTAAATAACAATTGGCTACATTTGCATGCCATATTAAGTCACAAATCATAAACTTTGCGAGTATATAGGGTGAGAACTCTACAGGACAACACTAGTATTGTTTGTAGTCCTAATGTCACAAAATAACAATGAAGTTGGGGTGTTTTTCAGAATCAAGGCCCAAACTAGAGAAAAAAGAATAATAGGGATCTGTAACTAGGGTACTTATGCTAATTTGAAGGAATTCAGATGCTCACTATATGGCAACAATTAGTTTATTGTCGTTCTTTGATGACATCTATTCTAGAGATCATTTCATGGACCAAATATGGTTGCCTTAGCTAAAGCTAAATTAAGTTGGGTGTTTGTTTTTTTTTGTCTTTAGCTTCTTAGCCAGTTTTTTTTTTATTCACATCTCAAATGCTGTCCTAGAAAGGAAGGAAAGCTGGAAAGAATCCAGAAGACAAGCTAACTTCATTGTTCACAGACTATTTTTTAACTCAGTTTGTAGAGTTTTATGGGATTTCTGCCCTTCCGTTCAGCTGCAGACGGGACAGAAAAAAGCAAGTGCTATCCTTAGTATGCAAACAAGGCAAACTTCTGTGGGTGAATAGTCACTTTTTAATTTTTATAGGTAGTCCTCAACTTAGGACCACAATTGAGCCCAGAATTTCTGTTGCTATGAGCCCAGAATTTCTGTTGCTAAGTGAAACATTTGTTAAGTGAGTTTCCCCCCTTTTTACGACCTTTCTTGCCACAGTTGTTAAGCAAACAATTGCAGTTGTTAAGTTAGGAACACAGTTGTTCAGTGAAAGTGGCTTCCCCACTGACTTTTGTTGTCAGAAAGTTGCAAAAAGTGATCACATGACCCCGGAATGCTGCAATCATCAATGAGTCAGTTGCCAAGTATCTGAATTTTGATCATGTGACCATGCTGTAAGAAAAATGGTCAGAAATCACTTTTTTCAGTGCCGTTGTAACTTTGCACAGTCATTAAATGAACTGTTGTAAGTCAAGGACTACCTGTATTCTCTATTGCTGCATGCTATTAGACTAGACAGAGGATCATTTCTTCACTCCACAAATAATCACCCTGTTAGAGTGGGGTCAGTGTTTCTCAACCTCTGCATCTTGAGATGGTGGACTTTTAACTCCCAGAATTCCATAGCCGGCATCCTTTGTAAACCATGGTTTATGCCTTAGTCAACCTTGGCCGCTTGACCTCAACTTCACAGCTGATTGGGGAATTCTGGGAGTTGAAATCCACCCCTCTTCAGGTGGCCAAGATTGAGAACCTTTGGTTTTTTTAGCACATTACACAACCAATGATGGTTTATTCCCTAATTTGTGGATTAAATCTTTTGAAAAATCTAGTCTCTACCCATCCCATTCCATCCCATAACATGTCATTTCATCTAGCCAGGCTGCCTTGTGCTGCTCTTTGGCCTACTCCCTAAACAGCGAGGCTGGACCACTTTATTTCATGAAGTTTACAATAGAAGCTATCCAAGCCGCAGAGGCCGATGGGAACTGAAGTCCTAGCGTAGGCTACCTGATTATTAGCGGTTCGCTCTTGGCGTACCATAGCAGCAGAAAGCCCTCTCTCGACCGACTTCCGGCTTTTTCCACCGGAAGACGCCGCATTGATTTAGCTGAAAAACCCTGGAGGCTTGAATAGGTGGCGAGAAAGACTTACCATAGAGATGAGGGTAGGAGAGACTCTAGGTCTAAAAGGCAAGGAAGGAGTTCCGCTTCCGTCTCGCGGCCGCTTCCGTGTTTGGGCGTGATGGAGTCGGTCCTGAGCGAAGTAGTGGCGTTGGAGGATCTAAAAGTGAGTGACACTTGCCTGGTCCTGAACCAGCGTGGCCGAGGGAGGTCTCCGAGTCCAAGATCACTCTACCTTTGGTGGCTAAGATGGAAAACGAGGGGGTGGAAGGTTGGGTGTCCCCTTCCAGCCACTCCCTTCCTGGGAAAATTCTGGGCTTTGGGTCCAGCAGAGCTGTTTATGTAACATATCATACACGGGCTAGCATTATATTAACATTTCTCCTAGATTAGTAATAAAACACAATAAAATATAAATGTTAAAAAGATGTATTTTCAAAAGTCCCAGCAGGGCTATTCTTGCTCGTTTGGTCATTGGGCTCGACTAGATGTCCTCATGGGCCTCTTAAATTAAGTATGTTTCTGCTTAACCTTTTTATAAGGTTTCAAATGTGCTTAGTCCTTTATTTCTTTCCATGGAACTCTTTCCCCCCCCCCCTTCTTCTCTGGGGGCTTCTTTTTATTGTCCTTCCCTTTTGATTTACAGGTAGCCCTCGGCTTACAACAGTTCACTTAGTGACCGTTCAAAGTTACGCTGGCACGGCAAAAAGTGACCTGGCCATTTTTCATACTTAACAACCATTGCAGTGTCCCTGTGGTCACGTGATCAAAATTCAGATTTTTGGCAGCTGGCTCATACTTATGATAGTTGTGGTGTCCTGAGGCCATGTGGCCACATTTCATGACCTTCTGGCAAGCAAAGTAAATGGAAACGCTAGGTTCACTTAACAACTGTGTTAGTAATTTAATAGTGATTTACTTAACAACCATTGTAGGAAAGATCATAAAATTAAAAATTAAAAAATGCAAAATCATAAAATGCAAAATTCACTAAACAACTGTCTCACTGAGCAACAGAAATGGGATTAATTGTGGTCGTAAGTCGAGGACTACCTATATTTTCCCCTGTGTACCATTTCTGTTTTGTTGTGCAAGAAAGCCTGGGATATATTCTAAGTTGCTGCATGGGTGCCATAAGTGAGAAGAAATCCGATGTGAATTGAGAGGCTGGTCCTAAATCATTTACAACTTGTAGGATGGACAGAATAGACATGCAGAGGCTTTCCTAATCTTAAGCAATTTGTTTATTTTACTTATTTATTTATTGGATTTTTAATCCCATCTTTATTTCTTTATAAGCAACTTAAGGCAGCAAACATACAAAATATAGGTAGTCCTCAACTTACAGCAGTTCATTTAGTGACCATTCAAAGTTACAACGGCACTGAAAAAAGTGACTTATGGATGTTTTTCACACTTACGGCCATTTTTCACAGATACAACCTTTCCAGCATCCCAAGGGTCATGTGATCAAAATTCAGACACTTGGCAACTGGTTCATATTTATGATGGTTGCAGGGTCCTGGGGGGTCATGTGATCCACTTTTGTGATCTTCTGAGAAGCAAAGTCAAAGGGGAAACCAGATTCCCTTAACAACTGTGTTACTAGCCTACCAAATTCAATGACTCACTTGACAACAGTGGCAAGAAAAGTTGTAAAATGGGGCAAAACTCACTTAGCAAGTGTTTCACTTAGCCACATAAATTTTGGGCTCAATTGTGGTTGTAACTCGAGGACTACCTGTACTAGCAACCTCTTCAACAAAAGTCAGTGCCTAGCATTTCCCTGATCAAACCTGCTTTTTCCCCTATATCCTGGAACTAGAAAAAGAAAAATGCATATTAAATGTGAGTGGAGATGGACAAGGGATTATTTTATTGCTTGGTTCCTTTGCATCCAAATTCATATGCTGAGGCTGAATTAGATCAGTGTCAGTAGCTGATCAACTTTCTGACAACTGATATGCTCACATTGTTAAAACTAAACACATCGCTCTGATGGTTGAGATTACACCACAGTGTGTACAAACTAAGTGTGCATTAAGTATGGTGCAAAAATGATGTGCAAATTCTCCTGGCATTTGTATTTCAGTATGGTGCAATTGAAAAGAGATAACATGTTGCAGCACGAAGTGCCAAATATACATCAGAGCCATGTTTGATTCCTTCAACCATCTCTGCTAGAAGTTTATAAGCATATTTTCTTTTTATAGTTGCTTTTTTCTCAAGAAATTACTAACTGCTTAATTATACTAGGGAAACTTCTGCATGACTACCATGTTGTTTCTATCTGTTGCAAAGGATTTAGGGCCAAGCTGTCAATTTATGTCGATTTTTCCTCATTGACAGCACTGGTGCAACAAATTAGAATATGTGCCTTATTGCAATGGTCCCCAATATTGCAACTTAGTGGCTTTGCTGGGGGAGTGGCGGGGTAGAAGGGAACCAGGATACATGAGCAGCGGGCCAGCCTGCACTCGTACACAGCTCAACTTGCATAAGTTGAGTTGTGTGCACATGTGCACAAATGTCGGCCTACTGCTCATGAAAGCTGCCTGGGTGGTTTTGGGCCAATCACCAAGAGAATGTCCCACCTTTGGCATGAACCTGGTTGGGTGACTTTGGGCTAATCACCAGGCGAATGTGAGTTCTAGTCCTGCTTTAGGCATGAAATCCAGCGGGGTGACTTTGGGCCAATCACATACACTCAGCCCAACACACCTCACAGCATAGTTGTGAGGAAAACAGAAGGAAGAAATATTATCTATGTTTTCCACCTTGAGTTAAAGTAATAAAGGCAGGATTAAAAAAAAATCCTAATACATTATTGTAGCAACTGTCCAGAACACCTGCAGGTTATTAATTGCTTGCTCCTGAATTTGGTTTCGGCTCTGGGATTACATTTATATCACATATTTATGGTGAATTTGCTCAGCATAACTATATTAACTGATTTGTAGGCTGCTTAGATTGCTGTGCAAGATTCAACTTGGTCTTCAGGTATGTCTGGACTGAGAAGTTGAAAAACAATCTGAGAAGAAGCCATGGAAAATCAAGAAAACCACAAGGATGTGTACATAAAGTTCATGCATGAAGAGCTGAACTCAATTTAAAAGAGAGTGTCCTTTTTATGAGAAGGGCTAGGTTTACCGTTGTTGCTTTTGGACTACAACTACAACATTGTGTAGTCCCAGAGGCATCCGACTGCCAATTTTTTGATAGAAAGTCCCACGGGCTTCATTCTGTCCAAGAGGCATTGTCCTGTTTTAAGGTTTATTTTGGCTTCCTTTAGCGTTTCCAGACCTTGAAGTGACGGTGTTGCAATGAAAATATGTTTAAACAGGTTCCCATTTCCATTAATAAAAAAAAACCCATGAATGAAAGGGATGCTTTAGGGTAAAGGAGATTTTGAGTGGGTATTTTTAGCCAATATGGGTATTTCAAGCAGGCCGGGGAGACGTCACACCATCCCAGTAATCTCTCCATGAAAGATCACTATGTTCTTCTCAACCCAGTCAGAGCTGTGCCTGAGGGCTTTTAAAACTCACTTCTGAGGCCTTCGTTGAAAGGAATGTAGCTGACTATTTCTTCCCACAGTTGAGGTCAAAAGGACCTTTGTGCATGAAGACGGGTTAAAAAAATTCCCTTGGATTCTTCTTTATGGCGGCAGCTATCATTTGCTTGAATGTGCAGTTATGGGCCTGACCACCTCAGACAGACAAACAAAACCCCTCACTGTTTTGTGAACGGCAGCAAACACACACATACACACACAGTGGTGCCTGGGTGTGCATGCCTTTGACTCTACAGTTCTCTCAGGGTGGATTTGATTTAAGTCACGATTTAAATCACAATTTAAATAGCTAGTAAAAAGGCTTGATTTAAATCAACTCGATTTAAATTTTTAAAGAGCAACTGTCATCTCTGACCTGTGGTTGACTCGCTGACAATCCCAATATTGCAGAATATACAGCCTGGTGCTACATAACTAAGCTCTATTTCATGCTGAATGAACTAAATTATTAATGTATCTTAAATAGAAACTATCTTTAGATGGATTTTTATTCCAAAAGCATTTTATTAAAATAAATGGGATAAAAAAAAATCTGAGTTAATTTTTTTAAAAAATCAATTTTTTTGGATTGTTTTTAAAATCAATTTTTATCTACCCTGAGTTCTCCCATAATCCTTCATAAGAGATCCAATTGGATCATTTCCCCCCACTGACAGTCTGTTGGGTCCTTGGCTAGCCACTGAGTGCAGTGAAACAGCCTTGGGAATCGTTGTGTTACCTGATTTTCAAACATGGACATGTGCTGTTTAATTGAAAATATTTGCAGCCCAGCCTTCATTTTAGAAAGATAATTAAGTCCCAGCTCTCCTTTACCACAAGGAATGGTTTCCTTCACCTACAGATAGTCCTTGGCTTACAACCATTCGCTTAGTGACAGTTTGAAGGTGCAACAGTGCTGGAAAAAAAACTTACGACCATTTTTCACAGTTACGACCATTGCAGCATCCCCATGGTCATGTGATCAAAATTCAGATGCTTGGCAACTGGTTCATATTTATGACGGTTGCAGTGTCTTGTGATCCCCTTTTGTGACCTTCTGAGAAGCAAAGTCAACGGGGGAAGCCAGGTGCATTTAACTGCCACGTTACTAACTTAACAATGGCAGTGGTTCACTTAATGGTTGCAAGAAAGGTCGTAAAACCATAACAAAGGTTGCAAGAAAGGTCATAGAAACTCGGGGGGGGGGGGGGACTCGCTTTACAGCAGTCTTGCTTAGAAAAAGCAATTTTGGGCTCAGTTGTGTTCGTAAGTCGAGGACCACCTGTGCTTAAGATGGAGCGGAGGAGGATGGTAGGTTTGCAAAACATGGACTTCTCCCTCTCAATTAGAGAAGGTGGACCAAGTTGTTTGGAGGAATGGTGCCCACACAATGCTTGTTACATTTAGCCTTTGCAGATAGTCCTCAACTTACAACAGTTCACTTAGTGACCATTCCAAGTTACAACGCCACTGAAAAAAGTGACTTTTAACTGTTTTTCACACGATCGTTGTCGTATCCACATAGTCACGGGATTGAAAATTGGATGCTAAGCAGCCGACTCACATTTACGACAGGGTCATGTGTTCACTTTTTTTGTGACCTCCTGGCAAGCAAAGTCAAGGGGAAAGCCGGATTCACTTAACAACCATGTGACTAACTTGACAATTGCAGTGATTTAGGGCACAGAAAGGTTGTAAAATGGAGGGAAAATTCACTTAACAAATGTTTCACTGAGCAACAAAAATTTTGGGCTCCATGGTGGTCGTAAGTTAAGGACTACCTGATGTGATTTCTCTTTCTTTCCCCTTCATTTTATTTGCATGAAGGCCCCATTTGGTACCTTATGTGAGCCAAAAAATGAATCTAAAGATGCTGTCAGCTTTTCTCTATTGACAGGTTGTTCGTTTAGTGACTTTCCAAAGCTACAATGGCACTGAAAAAAAGGGACTTAAGTCTGTTTACTTCATAACCCTTGCCCCATCCCCATGGTCACATGACCAAAATTCAGCTGCTTGGCATTTATGACGGTTGCAGTGTCTTGGGGGGGACGGACCTGATTCATATAACAATCCTGTTGCTAACTGCAATGATTCACTTAGCAACTGGGGCAAGAAAGTTGGGGCAAAATTCACTTAACCACCATCCCACTTTGCAACGGGAATTTTTGGGCTCCGTTGTAGTTGTAAGTCGAAGACTACCTGCCTTATCTTGGGGTTCCTGGGCTCTGAACCACCAGTGAGAATGACACAGCAGGCTAAATTGCACAGCAGTGAGAATGGCATAGCATGCTAAAACAGGGAGGTGAGAAATTGTAATTAGCTGGAAGACTCTCCAAAGCTATTTGCTGGCTTGAAGAATTGGCCTCTCTTACAGAGAGAAGGACCACTTATATATCTTTTTTTTCTGTTCATTTTAATTATCTCATTTATTGTTTGTGGAAGGCAAAATAATGATCACAAAATAAGAAAATTGCAGCTTTTTTCTTCCCCAGTAGAGGGCACAAAGACTTTCCTGCATAGGCTCCGTATATAGATGAAAAACAAGGGAAATTTCAGGAGGTGAATGGGCCATTTTTAAATTTTTTTACAGGTAGTTCTTGACCACAGTTGAGCCCAAAATTAGAATCTCTATGTGAAACATTTGTTAAGTAAGTTTTGCCCCATTTTATGAACTTTCTTGCCACAGTTGTTAAGTGAATCACTGCCGTTAAGTTAATCATATGGTCGTTAAGTGAATCTGGCTTCCCCGTTGACTTTGCTTATCAGGAGACCTCAAAAGATGACCATGTGATGCTCCCAACCGTAATAAACATGAATCACTTGGCAAGCATCTGAATTTTGATCACATGACCTTGGGGATGCTGCCACAGTTGTAAGTGGAAAAACAGTCCTACGTCACTTTTTTCAGTGCTGTCATAACTTTGAATGATCACTAAACAAATGGTTGTAAGTCGAGGACTGCCTGTATACAGTAGATAAAATAATTTCTCCAATGGGTTTATTTTTCCTGTAGGTTTATTACCCTTCATTTTGGTAAATGACTTAATTCTCATCCAGCTGGAAAACACAAATCGAACAGAAAATTAGTTCTATATGGCTGTTCAGCACTTTAAATGGTCACTAAATACATTGTTGTAGTCTACTTCGCAAGGTTCTAGTAGCACAGATTTTCCCAGGATGGTTTTTCCAGAAGTTTCTTCTAGCCTGGCCAGCACTGAATTTGATGGGTTTACTTACAAATCACAGAGTGGTGTGGTGGCCTAGAGTGGAGCTCTCACCTCACAATCAGGAAGCTGTGAGTTCGATCCTAGCTGGGGGCAGTTATTTCTCTCTCTGGCCACAATGAGAATGTATCTGCTGAACAAAACTCCGCATTAGTGACAGGAAGAGCATCCGGCCAGTAAACACTCAGCTCCATTCAATTACCCAGAAAGAAGATAATGACTTACAGATCACAGCTAGAAGGGATTGTGTTGCAGAAGGCTCTCGTATAAAGAAAGGAGAGAGACCTGCTGTAATAAGGACAGTGGACAAATTATTATGTAAGCAATGTAAGGAAACTTCCTATGCCTGCGTAGAATAGATGGTTTTGGGGGCAATGATGGCTACCGGCAATTGTAGTTTGCGGGTGGACTTCCTTACCATCCATTAAGCCTTTCTCTTTTCTGTTCTCTCCAGAGATTCGAGAAGAAGTTCAATTCTGAGCAAAGCTCTGGCAATGTCTCCAAAGGAACACAGTTTGAGTATGCTTGGTGCCTGATCCGCAGCAAATACAATGAGGACATCAAAAAGGGCATTGACCTTTTGGAAGGTGAGCTTTAGACCAGCTGCAAAGTGGCTCCCCTGATCTGCCTTACAAAACCCTTTCTTAAGAATAAATCCCCGTATTTCCTTTCATAATCTGAATAATGTTGTTTTTCACCTGTTAGGCCTTATGGATACAGCAAAGGATTGAAAGGCAGTTATGGGGGGGGAAATGATCTATTCTCCAGTGTAGACATTCTCACTAATCTTTCACACATGACACACTCCACTGCAGTGGTAGGGAGCTTAAAAGCTTTTGCCACTCTAACTGAAGCAACCGTGTTAATTTTGGAACTACATACAGGTGAGTTCGATCCTAGGTAGAGACAGATATTTCTCTCTCTCGGCACAATGAAAATATATCTGCTTGAAAAAAAACTCTGAATTGGTGACAGGAAGGGCATCCGGCCAGTAAACACTCAGCTCTATCCAGTTGCCCAGACTCCACCCTGCAAGGGGTTATGGGGTCATTAAAAGAAGATGATACAGGTGGTTCTCAATTTACGACAGTTTGTTTAGTGACCGTCCAAAGTTAGAACATCACTGAAAAAAGTGGCTTATGGCCATTTTTCACACATACGACCATTGCAGTGTCCTCATGGCCAGGTGATTTACATTCGGATGCTTGACAGCTGACTTACATTTATGTCAGTTGCCATGTATCATGTGACTCCCCTTTTGCGACCTTCTGGCAAGCAAACTTGACAGGAAAACCAGATTCACTCAACAACCGTGTCACTGATTTAAGAACCGCACTCATTCACTTAACAAATGGGGCGACAAAGGTCGTAAAAGGGGGCAAGATGCACTGAACAAATTTCTCACTTAACAATGTAAATTTTCGCCCTCCCAGAGGCCTGAGAGAAGCCTCCGGACTCTGGGGAAGGTGAAAAACGCTCCTTGCGGAAGATCTGGAAATCTGGAAACAGGCCTGTTTCTGGCTTCCGGAAGGCCTCTGGAACCCAGGAAGGCTGTTTTCGCCCTCCCAGAGGCCCAAGGGAAGCCCCCGGACTCTGGGGAAGGTGAAAAATGGCCCTCCCGGAAGTTCTGATGGCCACGCCCACCCTCACCACACCCACCCAGCAACCAGGCAGAGAACTGGTTGTTGGGACTTTTGAATCCCACCCCTGTCAACATTCCCTAAACTTTGCTGAAGATATTACTTATCCTGGTAACAAAATGTTAAGAAACCAACCCACAAGCTTGGAGAATGAACCTTCACCCTCAAAATTGAGACTCTTAAGGTCAATCACTTCTTCTAAAGTCCACACTATGCAAACAGTAAATATGGTGAGGCTCATAAAGTTAAAAGCCAAATGTCGGTCATCCTCAACACAAAAGAAACTAATCCATAAGCTTGGAGAACAAACCTTCACCCGAGATGCAGATAGTCGCCACTATTGCAAAGTCTCAATTTTGATATCTAGGAAACACAAATTTAAGGTTCGTAGAGTCAGCTGTTAAGCCAACCTATATTTTTTTTTTTTGGCTAGTTCTTTCACAACTTTTGGGAAAGCATTTTAAATACTGAGTTTTGCTTCTTAATTGATTCTTCCATATTTGGAAGGAAAACACACCTTTTCATTTATTTATATATCTTGCCAAAGTATTGTCCTAACCGCAGTAGCTGGATTCAGGTGGACTAAATGAGAGTTCCCCAACCTTTTCGGCTTTGCAGACTGGGGGAGGAGGAGAGTGGGTGGGTCTGCACAAACAGTGAGCATGTGCGCCCATCCCTTGCACAAATGGAGCATCAGGTGCGCAGAGTTGGGGACCCCTGAACGAAAGGCACTTGCAATTTAGCAGCCAACCAAGGTAATGCAGTAGAGCCCTTTCAGTGTTCCTTCCCCCAGCAGAACAATGGTCTTGAACCAGGAGGCTCAATTTAAGTTATGCCTGTGTGCATCTTATATTCCTCAAGGATTCAGCTTTGCTGTTGGAAAAAACAGGGAAGGCAAAGATTCCTCTTTCTTCATATTATGTTTCATTTCATCATATACAGCAGGGGTGTCAAACTCTATTTCATTGAGGCTGCATCAGGGTTGTGTTTGACTCGGTGAGGGGGGTGAGATGGGCGTGGTCAGGGCAGGCATGGGCAGCTCGACATCACTCATGTCGGGGGTGTCTGTGGTGGCCCAAGTACTCTACCAGTGAAACGGGCTCCCATTTTTGGCTGCCGTGGCCTCCTGCAACCTTCTGCCAGCAAAAACGGAACCCGCCCTCCTGAGCTCCATTTTCAATGGAGACCGTGGTAGTAGAAAACGGAGATCGGGAACCAGTTTTTGCTGGCAGAAGCACTGCCGTCTGGTCCTTCACTGTTTCCAGGGTGGCCCCATGGGCCACATCTAAGTACCCCATGGGCCGAACCTGGCCCCCCAGGTCTTTAGTTTGACACCCCTGATATACAGGTAGGTAGTTCTTGACTTACAACAGTTCATTTAGGGGCCGTTCAAAGTCACAATGGCACTGAAAAAAGTGACTCATAACCCTTTTAAAAAACACTTTTAACAACTGTTGCAGCATCTAGTTGGTAACGTGATCAAAATTTGGACCCTTTGGTAACTGGTTTATATTTATTTATGATGGTTGCAGCTGGTCCCGCTGCCAAGGTCGTAAGCGTGAAAAATGGTCATAAGTCACTTTTTTCAATGCCATTGTAACTTTGAACTGTCACCAAACGAACTGCTGTAAGTCAAGGACCGCCTGTATTAGAAACTCATGTACAGCCATTTTTCTTCCCTTTGCCTTTGATTGATTGATTTGTTTTCTTAGAACTGTTGACCAAAGGGAACAAAGAAGACCAGAGAGATTACGTGTTTTACCTCGCGGTAGCCAATTACCGGCTGAAGGTGAGCTTGTGGATAGTTCCCTCTTTGTTTCCCTTGCTTGTCTCTATTTCTGGATTTGCTGGCATTTTATGTTTCTGGGTTTGGCTGTGCCTGAACTTCAGTCGGCTGACATTGGACTGAAATCAAGGCAATTTAGGACTCCCAAGCCAGAAGAAATCACATTCCCTTAAAAGAGGAATTCCCGATTTTGAGCACTTCGAGGGACACAAGAAAGATGCCTGGCTGTCGAAGAAGCTTCTCGAAACATTTTCAAAGTTTAAAAAAAAACCACAAGGAAGTCTAGTTGCTTTTTGGGGGTGGGGGGGGGAAGCAGATTTTGGAAGAGCAGTGGCCATAGCATTTAGTTTTATAAACCATTTTCCAGTGATTTACAGTTCTCTCTAAGTCTAAGCCAAGGATGTCAAACTCAATTTCATTGAGGCCGCATCAGGGCTGTGATTGATCTTGGGTGGGGTGGATGGGTGTGGCCAACTGGGTGGACATGGCCTGCTTGACGCCTCTCCCCAAACTGCTGGCATGTTTCCTCTTCCCATTGGGTAGACCGGGCCGAAGCTATGCTGGCCTGATCTTTCCTCTTCCCATTGTGTAGACCAGGCCGAAGCCATGCTGGCCTCATTTTTCCTCTTCGCGTTGGGTATCCAGCCCACAGGCCTTGAGTTTGACACCCCTGCTCTAAGCGGTTTACAGAGTCAACATATTGACCCCAGCAATCTGGGTTATCATCGGAAGGATGCAAAACTGAGTCAAACTTGAGCCGGTCAGGATCGATCTCTTGGCAGTGGGCACAGTTAACCTGCAATATTGCATTTCTAATCATTTGGCCACTTCAACTTCAATGATGCTTGGCTGACCACATCCTTACTTCTCTTTTCAAATCCTCTCTATGATTTGGTCTCCCTCAAACTCTCTATGTTGACCGAGGGGTGGGTGGGTCATTAGATTGGGACTAGCTGGCATACAGTTTGTTCTTCTTCACTTCCCATCTTTTTTTTTTTTTAAAAAGGTTTTTTTATTGATTTTAACAACAAACAAAAACACAAACAACATAAGACATGACATAAAAACATCATTATTCTTCATATATTTACAGACAGTGCATCAGTTGGTTTATCACTCCTTTTTGTGCAACTATTTCATAACCATCATAGTAGTTATATTACATAGTAACTCATATTATCAATTTCACTTCCCATCTTTATTATCCTGGTTAGATAAGATAAAAGGTAATCCAAGTCCGGAAACAGATTCTGTTAAGTTTATTGGAAACCCCCCCCCCTTTTTTTTAAATTGATACAAGCTAATTGTCTCAGACAACCCTAGTTCCCTTGCTCAAGAAACAGATGGGCACCGTGCCTTAAAGTCAGACAAGACAGTCAGGGAAATCTTTTCCTTTTTAAAATAACAGGTAGTCCTTAACTTACAACAGTTCATTTAGTGACCGTTCTAAGTTACAATGGCACCAGGAAAAAAAGCGAGTTACAACTTTTTCACAGTTACAACCTTTGTTATGTTCCCATGATCGTATGATCAGAATTCAGATGCTTGGCCAACTGGTTCATGCTTATGACCGTTGATGTGTCCCAAGGACCTTTTGACAAGCAAAGTCAATGAGTAAAACCAGATTCACTTAACAACCACATAAATCACTTAGCAACTGCAGTGATTCACTTAGCAACAGTGGCAAGAAAGGTCATAAAATGGGACAGAACTCACTTAGCAATTGCCACGCTTAGCAACAGAAACGTTGGGATTCATTGGCAGTTGTAAGTCACGGACCATCTGTAACAGGATCTCGAAAGCCGGATGGCACTGCCACTCCCACTTTCTTATGCCAAAGAGAGTTAAAATGGATGCAGTTTAAGCGTCTTTGTGATATTCTCTTCCTGTCCTGGGATTACATTCTGTTTTGGGAACTGCCGCCAGGTGCTTTTTCCAAGAGTCATTTTTGTCATTTTAAACAACCCCAAATGGACTGGTTGATCCAGGCCACGATTGATTTGTCTTTTACCTTTAGCCAAATGCCTTGAGGGAAAAGCCAATATAGATTTTGAATTGAGTGACTGACCTGGGAACTGTTTGCATTTGGAAAGGTTCTGGTGAGGTAGAAAAAGAAAAGTTCCACTAATCTTTCCTCAGTGCACTTGAGTTTTATTTTTTTAAAAAAAAAATTTTAACCTTAACGTCGAAACAGACCTCTAATTAGGCATGTTTAAAACTATTATCTTAACTTCAACACTTTTCTTTCTTCTGGCATTTTGAAAATAGGTTTTCCCCATTTCCTGGTCTTGTGGAGCACCTATTGTTTTGTCTGGTCTTCTGGAATGTGGAAGATGGTGGGATTGTGAAAGAGGAACTCGAGAGATATAACTGCCCCCCCCCCCAACCTTTGCTGTGTTTGGGGTTGACTCGTTAACTTGGCCTTGCTTTATCTCTTGACAAGTAATCTTGGGCTTCATAAACTTCATGGAAAGCAGGGTGTTGGCCATCCTTATCTGTCTTGGTTGATCCTCTTATCTGGGCTTTTTATGGACTGCCACAGTGCTGTGATCATAACTCTTCAATCCTTGGGCGTGTTGTCAAGGCAGCAGGGCAGATAAGAAGCATGTCTGGGTCGGAGGGAGGGAGGGAATTTGTGCAAAGCACAGCTGGGTGACCAGTGCATTCCTTAATCGTGTTTTGCTCAAGAGGAAATCCCACTTGAGCCAGGTGTAGGATACGCGATGCGGCCTTAAGAGCAGGAATGGAAGGGGACGGTTGATGGAAGGAAATCCAGGCTTGTTTTGATGCTTCTGTGTGGTGCAAGAGATAAGCTATCAAGATTGCAGGGTGAGGTGAATTGAATTGAACCCTCTCCAGCTCAAAAACATTATGGGATGGTCTGGAAGTTGTTGTCTCTCTGTTGAACCTCACTCCAGTGAGCAAGCGATGGCTCTCTCAAAAACATGGATGCCAGACTTTAACGTGTACTTTGTCTGAAGCAGAAAGGAAGACTGGAAAAGCATGCTATGTCCTTCATATATTGGGGTTATTCAACGTTCCCCAGCTATTAACATTTGGAGAACCTCATGTTGAGGAGTGTTTTTTTCTGGTGGGACTGGCCTATCAGGGCAACCTGGTCTACCCAATTATGGACCGGAGCATACTGCTTCTGTTTTTGCCTTTCAGCCCCAATCCAGGAGCCTTTGTAAGCAGTCGCTTTTGCCACGAACTATTTTTGTGTTGAATCTACGTTTACTGTCAAAAGAAATAAAGGGAGACTAAAAGGTAAAGGTTCCTCTCGCACACATACGTGCTAGTCATTTCCAGCTCCAGGGGGTGGTGCTCATCTTTGTTACAAAGCCGAAGAGCCAGAGCTTGTCCGAAGATGGCTCCGTGGTCATGTGGCTGGCATGACTAAACGCCAAAGGCACATGGAATACTGTTACCTTCCCACCAAAGTGGTTCCTATTTTTCTACTTGCATTTTTACGTGCTTTCAAACTGCTGACAAGTAACGGGAACTCACTACATTATGCAGCACTAGGGATTCGAACCGCCAAACTGTCGACCTTTCTGCTCGAACAAGCTCAACGTCTTAGCCACTGAGCCACTGCGTCCCTCTAAAGGGAGACTAGTATAGATCTATTTCAAACTACTTAGCTTCATCAGCTAGCCATTCCCTTCTGGGATTTGGACCCAGGCTACCTGCATATATTAGGTAGATGTATTATCCTCTAAGCCACAGGCTCTCCTCGCTTTGTCGGCTATACCAGAGAGAGAGATTAAGTGTTACAAAGCTCATGTTGAGAAGAGTGTCTGCTAAGGTATCCCGTGCCTTCCTTGAAGTCTTCCTAGGCCCAAGTTCTGGGTAGTTCAGGATTTTGTTCCAGCAGTGGCACATTGGACCAATGTCATCTTATTTGTTCCCACAACAAGAATGGTCGTAAGACCTCGCACAACCATTCGTTATGAGAAATTTCCTGACAGAACAATGAATCAGAGGAACGAACTTCTGAACGAACTTCTGAACTTCTGGATGCTCCAACACTGGAAGTTTTTAAGAAGAGATTTGGGCAGCCACTTGTCTGAAATGGTATTGGACTGTGATGGTAAACCTATGGCACGTGTGTCAGAGGTAGCATGCAGAGCCATTTGTGTCAGCAAGCGAGCCGCAGGCAAACTTACCGCACTGCGCATGTGTGCACCCCCCAGCTGAGGCCTTTTTTGGCCTCCCAGAGGTTTGAAGAAAGCCTCTGCAGGCTTTGCAGGCCGAATAATAGGTTTCGTTACTTCCTGTATTACCAGAAATACCAGAAGTGATGAAACGGGCCTATTTTTGGCCTGCAAAGTCTGCAGAGGCTTTCCTCAAGCCTCTGGGAGGCCAAAAAAGGCCTCAAACCAGCCGAGAAACGCAGTGCAGATAAGGGGGGGAGCGCGCATTGCCTTCTGGGTTCTGGCACGCGACCGCATACGCAAGCGCATGCACAATTTTTGGCACAAGAGCCCAAAAAGGTTAGTCACCGCTCATATAGGGTTTCCTGCCTGAGCAGGAGATTGGACTAGAAGACCTCTAAGGTCCCTTCTAATTCTGTTAATTCTGTTTTGCTACCATTTAAATGGCACTGGAAAAAGTGACTTACGATTTTTTTTCACATTTATGCCCCATAGTCCCATGACCAAAATTTGGATGCTTGGCAACTGGCATATAATTTTGATGGTTGCAGTGTCCCAAGGTCACCTGATCCCCTTTTGCGACCTTCTGACAAGCAAAATCAATAGAGAAGCCACTGAACAATCCTGTTACTAACTTAAGAACTGCAGTGATTCACTTAACAACTGTGGCAAGAAAGCCCGTAAAATGGGGCAAAACTGACCTGACAATTATCTTGCTTAGAGATGGAAATTTTGGGCTTGGTCATAAGCTGCGAACTACCTGTATTTGATTCTTAGGTATCCGGCCCCTGAACATGGAGAATTACGTTGTGTTTAATAATCAGCTATGGGTTCTCTCTCTGTAACATTGGAGAACTCCCTTGGAATGTGTCCATAGCCATTACATAGGTGAAGTTGATTTTTGTCCTTTTCATCCTCATACCTGTCTACTTACGGGGACCACCTCTGCCCTATTGTCTCTACCTGTAAAAGTAGGTGAGAATGGCCTTGAGTGATGGGGCAAAGAAATGCTGCCTAGGAAACGGTCAGATAAGAGAGGGCAGAGCTCACAGCCTCTATAATGGATGGAGAAAGACTAAGAAGAAATCCACTCTCATTTTCTGGGCTGTTAAGGAGAGGGCAGACAAAATGGACTTTTAGACTTTCTATTGATGTGAACAAGGTAGTCCTCGACTTACGATCACAATTTTTCTGTTGCTAAACGAGACATTTATTAAGTGTGTTTTGCCCCATTTTACAAAGGCATGTGACTCTGGGATGAAGCAATCATTGTAAATACATGCCAGTTGCCAAGCTCCCGAATTTTGATCGCGTGTCCAGGTGGATATTGTGATAGTGCTGCAAAATGTGCATATATAAGTTGCTTTTTTTTCCAGCACCTTCGTAACTTTGAACTGATGTTAACAAATGGCTGTGCAGTAGAACCTCACGACCATAATTCATTCCGTAACTTTGGTCGCAAGTCGATTGGTCGTGACCCAAACCTAATTTGGAAATTTGGCACTTACAAAAAAAATGGCGCAGAAGGGAAAATCGGCCGAGGGAAAAAAAGATTTGGGGTGAATTTTTTGGTCGGAACCTAATTTGGTTGTATATATAATTTTTTTATTTTTATATTTATTTTTATATATATAAAAAATATAATATATATATATATATTTCCTGAAGTATTTTCCTTTCCTGACCATAACTAAGAATTCACAAGCTTCCAGTCCCAAAACTTTTTATAGATTGTCCTCCACTACCACAGTTCATTTAGTGACCATCTGAAGTTACAACGGGACTGAAAAAAGTGACAGGACCAATTTTCATTCTTAAGACCTTTCGGGCATCTTGCATGCACATGATCAAAGTTTAGATGCTTTGCAACTGACTCGTATTTATGACAGTTGCCATGTTCCGGGGGGCACGTGATCGCCTTTTGTAACCTTCTGACAAGCGAAGTCAGTGGGGAAGCTTGCTTAACTTAACAGCCGTGTTACTAACTTAACAACGATTAAGTTAGCGATTCACTTAATAACTGTGGCAAGAAAGGTCATAAAATGGGGCAAAACTTGCAAATGTTTCACTTAGCAACCGAGATGTTTGGGCTCAATTGCGGCCGTAAGTCGAGGACTACCTCTGCCCACCTCCTATTGTTGTGAGAAGTTGAGAAGATCCATCTGTTTTTGCCTTTCTTTCCTACGATGCTGCTCTTTCTTTCTCCACTACAGGAATACGAAAAGGCTCTGAAATGCATCCGAGGCCTATTGAAGACTGAGCCAAACAACACGCAAGCCTTGGAGATGGAAAAACTGATCAAGAAAGCCATGCAGAAAGGTTAGGGGGGCAGAGGTGGGGGAGAGAAGGCTGGCCCTTTTTAGCTCAGATCGACTGTACTGGATCCCAAAGTCCAAAGAACGGCAGCTAATATGATCTTTCCCAGTCTGGGGTTATCCTTTTCAACCTCTGGGTTATCCTGGTTTGTAAAGAATTGAGCTATAAACACCGCTTCACAGTTGCAAGACCAAAACGTGAACTAACCTAACCCTAGCCATGAAGTGAAAGTGCCCAAGCACATGAAACCTTGGCTTTTAATAAGCACGACAAACCTGGATTACTAAAGAGTGTTATTTCTATCATGACTCATTGGAGAAGAGCCTAATGCTGGGGACGATTGAGGGCAAAAGAAGAAAGGGACGGCAGAGAATGAGGTGGCTGGATGGAGTCACTGAAGCAGTCGGCATGAGATTAAAGGGACTCCGGAGGGATGGTAGAGGACAGGAAGGTCTGGAGGAACGTTGTTCAGGGGATAGCGATGGGTTGGATATGACTTTGCAACTAACAACAACATTTCTATCCAGAGAACGATGAAAGTGGGAGGTGGTACTCTCTCAGCAAACTGGTTTTATTCACACATACATACGTACCTATGTACGTACATACGTACATACATTTGTTGTTTAGTCGCGAAATCATGTCTGACCCATCACGACCCCATGGACAACATTCCTCCAGGTCTTCCTGTCCTCTACCATCCCCTGTAGATCACAGATACATACATACATACACTCAGCCTCCTGCTCCATTGCTGCTGTGAGCAAGCAGAAGCAGTGGGTCAGTGGCCATGTGGACTCCTGCTTCATGTGGCTGGTAGTGCTGCTGCCGCAAGGCAGGTGTCAAAGCATGGATGGTCTGGATTATGGGGGCCCTGAGATAAACCAGTGTGGGGCAGGTGGGACAGCTCCACCCCCACCTCACCTTGCGACCGCAGCGCCACAAACACAAGATGGAAATGGCAGCAAACTAGCTGTGCAGGCTCTTAACTAGGGCTTATTTTGGGAGCAGGTGGGCTTATATTAGGGGCACATGTAAAAGCCATGCTAGGATTTATTTTCAGGATAGGTCTTATTTTTAGGGAAACAGGTTACATACATACACATATGATCGTTCAATATTACAGCAGCATTGAAAAAAAGCGACCTGTGATTGTTTTTCACACTTAACAACGGTTGCAGTTATGACATGATCAAAATTCAGACGCTTAGCAACCTGCATGTATTTACAATGCTCCTGAATCATGCGATCAGCTTTCGCAAGCTCCTGACAAGCAAAGTGAGTGGGAAAGCCAGATTCACTTAACAACCATGTTAATAAGTGAATGGCTGCAGTGCTTTGCTTAACAACTGTGGCAAGAAAGATTGTAAAATAGAGAGAAGCGATCTAGAAAAAGAGAAATTTCCTGACAGTTAAAACAATTGGAATAAGTTGGAATAAGTTAAAACAGTGGAATAAGTTGCCTCCAGAAGTTGTGGGTGCTGGACGTTTTGAAGAAAAGATTGGACAGCCATTTTGTCTGAAACGCTATAGAGTCTCCTGCTTGAGCTGGTGGGGTTGGACTAGAAGACCTCCAAGGTCCCTTCCAACTCTGTTATTCTGTAAAATGGGGCAAAACTCAATTGTTTCAGTTAGCAACAGAAATTTTGGCTTAACTGCAGTCATAAGTCAAGGACTTCCTGCAGATGCATGCATACATACATACACATTCCCCAGCAGTTAATGTTTGAAGATTGTTCAGCAATTGTGGTGACCCTGGCTAGGGTTGATGGCCAAGGGATCTTGGTTGACCTCAGGAAGGCAGCGACTGTAGCTATTACTCCTTCGGGTGGGAGAGGAGTGGGTTGCCATGGCAATGGGTTGGTCCAGCCCCCTCTCCCGATGCAGCAGTCCAAAGTCCCTTTAGCGTCTTTAATTGACCCTCCAGGGTGGCCGCCCCCCCCCCCCCTTTGTTCTCTCCACAGATGGCTTGGTTGGCATGGCGATCGTTGGTGGCATGGCGTTGGGAGCGGCCAGTCTGGCGGGCCTGATCGGCTTGGCCATTGCCAAATCCAAATCCTAAGGCCGATAGGGTAGGCCTCCCTTCTCTTCCTCTGGCGGAGCAAGCCCGGCCTGGGCATCTGGAAGACCCAACCCTCCAGAGAAGCGAGCGGAGGGATGATTCAAAACCCTTTTGTTTTCTTCAAATGTCACTAACCTGTCTGTAATTCCTGGATTTCGGTCCTCATTTCTCCCCCCCTCCCCCACTGATCAGCTGCTATGTTCACGAGGGCAAAGAGCGATAATAATGCAGAAATTGCCCAGAGAATGAGGGTGCCCTGGGACTATAATCCCAATTTTCCTCTTGCGTTAATCCAAGCTGAGGTTCTTCTGATATCTCTCCTTCCACTGGTACAAGACGTACTAAGTCCTTCTCTCTCTCTGCCTTTCGCTTCTCCCAAAAATTTGGGAAGAGTCTTCTGGTGAAGTACGGGAGCCAAACGCGAACCCACTTTGGTGTCCCTTCTGGAGATAACCAGGATGTCTTTCTGCCTTTCAGATGAAGCTTTGGCCAAGTGCTGGGGATAAGGCAGCCTTCGGGGGCGGGG